CAGCGCCCGCCCCGTGGGAAACGGGATCTTGGCGGGGACGGATCCTCCCCGGGGCGCCGGCGGCATCGGGGGGACACGCGTGGCACCAGCCCGGGCTGGGGGCAGCGGGGGGCCCGGGGGCCACGTCCCCCTCACCTGGCCGAAGTTCCAGGGGATGGAGGTGATATAGTCCCGGGAACCCTGGTAAATGAGCCCCTCCTGGGCCAGCACGTACTCGCTGCGCTCGTTCTCGTCCCGGAGGAAAACTGTGTCCTCTGTGGGGAGAGCGAGAACGTGGGATGGAGCCCTGCCCTGCAGCCCCTGCTCAGGACTCCAACCCCCGCATCTGGTGGGAAACGGGGCTGGAGCTGCTCCTATCTGAAAAAGCTGCTGGGGAATTCCAGCCCATTTTGATGTGAGCTGATGGGACATTTTTAGCGGGTTTGTCATTTTCTTTTCCATCCTTTCTGTCATTTCTCCCTTTCTTTCCACCCATTTGTTTTATGGAGTCAGGTCTTTTCCCAGGTGGGGAAATTTCCCTGGTGGGAGAAGCGAGCAGTGGAAACAGAGAGTGCTGGCTGAGGGCACAGCTGAAGCTCTTTGCTTGCACAACAGTTACTGCTGGAAAAATCACTATTTACTGGAAAAGTTCTCAGAAAAAAACCCAGGACACACCGGCGGTGCTGGGTCCAGCCCTGGGCGAGGCGGCAGCCCCGGGACAGCCCCTCGGGCAGGGAAAATGTGGAGAGATTAAAATCCTGGCAATTATCTGCTCGGCATCGTTAAAACCGGCAGCACCTGTCCTGCCTTCGATTGCCTGAATTTCTCTGAGCCTAGAGCACCAGAGCTGAGTTGGGGCAACTAATTAGGGCCAATTAAGGGCTTTTCCCCCGCCCATCCAGCCGGCCCTGGTTCCGGGGCTGCCCAGGGCTTTGCACCGGCAGAGGTGAGTTCCCGTGGGTACCGGGCTGTGGGGAGACAGGGCTGTGGGGAGACAGGGCTGTGGGGAGACAGGGCTGTGGCTGTCTGGGGCTCTGGCAAGAGGGCTGTGCCTGTGAGGGGAGGGGGGCAGGGGGAAAGGACACGGTGCTTGTGACCCTGACCTGTTGTGGGGATGTGTGGATGGCTTGGGGCACCTGGGGGCTGCGATGGGGAGAGACCCGAGGGGATGCCCTGTCCCGGTGGAGCTGGGGAGGGGGCTCAGGCTCCCTTCACCTGGGAACCCCCGGTCTTGGGGAGGTGCAAGGCCCACCTGGGTGCCAGGCGTTAAAGAGCAGAACGAAGTCCCCGAGGTGGTAGCTGCTACCCTGGTAGTCCGTGGAGGTCTCCAGGGTCAGGCTGTAGCGGCCGA